TTGCTCCTTTCACACGAGTTCCCATCCAGGCACAGAGATGCTGGGGGGGGGGGGGGGGCTTGGAGCGTCTTCCGAATCACGACATCCAACAAAACCTCCATGCATATGCAGACGCCCCATGTGTCTCTGCCTGCCCCATGTGTCTCTGCCTGCCCCATGTGTCTCTGCCAGGTCCCAAAGACTGCCAAAGACTTGCTTTCTGCACATGTCAAGATCATCTCACACATGTGCAGACTTGTTGCAGGTCTATACTGGGCGCTATGGTGTAGGCAGGAGGTAGAGCAGGTCCCTTTTAAGGTGCCTTCTGCCCCTGGGAGAAGATTGGGAGTTTAGACAGGACCAGGGAGGGAGTTGGGGCAAATTGGAGAGAAAGGAGAAGCAACATCATATAGCTTGCTGTGTGCATGCTCTTCCCCGGGTGCCCCGGGGTTCTCCACCGTAGTCCCGAGAGAGAAGGAGAGCTCAAGTGGGACAGTTCAGGTCCAGAAGAAGACCTTGGGAGTTGGTTTACCCCTTGGTTTCTCCCCTCCTCTGACCAAACAGATAAGAGTAGGAAAGCTACATGGAGTGAGGGCCCTTCTGCAATGGATACAAGCAACCACCGGCAGGGCCCAAGACAAAATATTCCTGTGGCGTCTGCTCATGTGTGAGATATGCATACTGTACACGATGTGATACAAATCTGGAAATGGAAGTGGAAAAATAGAAAAATAAATTTTTTGGTATACAAAATATCCAATTGTGTAAGAGGGAGGGGAGAAAGTCGTGTTCGCGGGGGTGAAGGTCCACTTTAAAGAATAAGTTCAACTTTTGAAAAACAAAAAAGTAAATAATAATAAATGCACTTTTTGCAAGTTCAAAAAAAAGTGCATTTACAATTTTTTTTTCTATACATCCTGCAGAGCATCGCACCCACGATAAGTAGGTGCAATGCCAGGATCCTGCAGACTCTCAGTATAGCTGTCTGCCCGTACCTCCTACAGGCAGGCAGTTACTCGAAAGCAGGAAGATCAATGAACAACGAGAGCACTTACCTGCACCCTTGTAGTTCATTGAGTACTTCAAACCATCAGCTGCAATGGTAATTGTACTCTACTCATTCACAGGAAACTGTGAATGATTAGCACTGCAAGCGAGGCTGTTTTTCAAATTGTGACAGCGGGACAAAGATTAGGGGGGGGGGTAGAGAGTGCATGTTGAACGCGTCACACACTAAACACGGGTGTAACATGTTCAGAAAGGTGAACGTATCCTTTCATGTTTGTGCTGATGGTTTGACACACAATTGTAAACATTATTTTTGTATCTGCAATAGGCTTTGATTTTTCAGAGAATCGTTTTAATTGCGGTTTTTTCCAAGAGGCGACCTTCCTTTTAACCCTCTTGCAGCGTTTCCCTGAACTTCTGGGGAAGTGCAGAAGGATCTCCTGACCAGAGGCGGACTGACCGTTCGAGCACTCAGGCACTGCGTGAGGGCCCGAGGTCCGTAGGGGGCCCCATGAAATGCCCCTGGTACCTTTCTTATAGGCTTTTTTGGGTGTTCTTTGAGTGTGGGCAAGGACACGGGCCCCATGATTATTTTGTTTTCCTAAATTCCCTGAGGAAGTGGGTCTTATTCCACGAAACGCGTCGAATTTCTGGCTCAATAATTCAACTTTATGGAAATACATTTGCCTAGTGAGGATCTATGTATCTGATGGTATTGTTGGGGCTCTTAGGGCTCGTTCACACTTGGCTGTTTTGCCAACGCTTGCCAAACGCCCCTATAGCGTTTGGCAAGCGTTGGTCCGACGTTTGCAGAGCGTTTTTTTAACGCTCCGCAAACGCCGCTTGCGCGGTTTAGTGGCAGTTGCTAGGCGTTTGCCGAGCGTTAATAATGCCCCACAAACGCCTATAATGCAGTTTGAGTGGTGTTACCGCTCCGCAAACGCCCCGCAACCGCGTCACAACCGCACCGCAAACGCCGGCGGGCGTTTGCGGAGCGGCACAATAGACGAGAATAGGAGGCTTCAACGCCTTCTGACTTGTCCAGAGGCGTCCGTTTTGCCGCGACGCAACGCAAACGCTCCCGTTAGAACAGCACCATGTGCTGTAATGTGCAGAATTGGCAGAGGCGTTTGGGAAGCGGTAAAAACGCTTCCCAAACGCCTCTCTGCCGCCTGCACACAGCGCTAGTGTGAACGTAGCCTTAGACTCTTGCTTGTGACGCCTTTGCGTCCCGGGCCAGAGCCTTCCCCCCCCCCCCTTTTTGTTACTTATAAATTTATACTATGTTTTTTTCTGTTTTATTATGCATGTGTCTATTTTGGCTGACCAATTGGTCTCTCTTACCACTTATGTGTTTTTTTTGGTTTTTTTTTTTATAAAATTACAATAAAACATGTTCTCTTTTATCTAGTGTTTTCGTGTTGTGCATCTTTATACTTTCACATGGTATGGTGCTTTAAAAGCCCCATTACTTTTTATTTGTTAAGGTTTTTTTATATCCATCTGGCCCCCAAAAAAAGGGATAAAATTAAATATAGAGTGAAAGTGAGGCTACAAATGATAACGAATGTTTTGTTGGTTTAATGACACTGAGGGGTTTATTTACTAAAGCTGGAGAGTCCAAAATCAGACTCCCTTCTGCATAGAAACCAATCAGCTTCTAACCTCAGCTTGTTCAATGAAGGTTTGGCAATGAAACCTGGAAGCTGATTGGTTTCTATGCAGAAGGGAGTCTGATTTTGGACTCTCCAGCTTTAGTAAATAAACCCCTGAGCATCTAATTAATACGTTTCTGTTGTCAACCTCTTACACCCCTCAGCATCTGAGCTCCCAGCGCTGCCCAGTCCCTGCAACGGATTCAAATCACGTCTTGCTTTACAAGGATTTCCTCCTTTCCTGTCCATACACTATTTTGCTAAAGTATACGTAAATCTTAAATCAATTGTTCGGTATATTTGTCATTATACATCACAGTATACGGTTTTCTCAAGCAAACAGCTTTTTTTTATCGTGAATCTCTTGAAAAATAACTTACCTGGAGATCCTGCCATTAACAGAACTTCCTGTTTCAGGGTGACAACGGCAAGTCCAATGCCTTGCAAAAATCCTCCCTTGCAACTCCCACAAGCATTAAAGTGTTTGGTATTTTAAAAAAAAGAAGGAAAAAAACTGAACTTTTACAAACATGTCATACTTACCTGCTCTGTGCAATGGCTTTGCAAAGAGAAACCCCAAACCTCCTCTTTGAAAGTCCCCACCAGCGCTGCTGGCCCCTTCCCCTCCTGCTGAGTGCTCTCATAGCAAGCTGCTTGCTTTGGGGGCAATCCTGCGTGCTCACTCCTATGAGACACACGGAAAGCATTTCGGCCCTGGCTCCCTCCTCACTGGCTGTGATTGGCAGCAGTGGGTGCCAATGGCTCCTGCTGCTGAGTCTCGGCCAATGAGGAGGCAGAGAACCGAGAGAGCTTCTGCTCTTGTGCACATCGCATCGCTGGATCAGGATCAGGCTCGAGTATAAGGGGGGGGGGGGGAGGGAGCCTTGCACAATGAAGGAAGGTTTTTTTTATGTTCATGAAAATAAAAAAACCTTTAGGCTTTATAACCACTTTAAGTGTTCGTTTAGCTCTAGGGTACCTGTACTTTTACTAACATGATCCTCTGCTCCAGCAGGCTCCCCCCTGTGCTGCTAGACCCATCCCCACAGCTTTTTCTCCTCTATGCTCCAGGGGTGGGGGTTGCTGCACAACAAAGGAAGGTTTTTTTTTTATGTTCATGAAAATAAAAAACCTTCAGTCTTTATAACCACTTTAAGTGTTTGTTTAGGTCTAGGGTATCTGTACATTTACTAACCTGATCCTCCGCTCCAGCAGGCTCCCTCCGTGCTGCTAGACCCATCCCCACAGCTTTTTCTCCTCTATGCTCCGGCAGTCACAGGTCCCCCGGTGCCATAAAGTACAATATAGTGTCAATTTACCTTGTACTGGAGGTCAGGGTGCCAGGGGACTGCCCAATGTCGGAAAGTAGAGAGCGCCGCCCACTGGGGAAGCGGATGATTGGACAAGTAAAACTCCTTTTTCAGGGACACTAGATGTAAACAAGCATTTAACCCTTAAAGTGCAGGGACAGCCCCACTGCAAGGGAGGATTTTTCTTATCCCCAGAGGTAGGCTTAAATAGTTCAATTCTGTAGACCGGGCATGTGTAGCATTTCCAGTCTCTCTACCCTGCCACTGGGACCCTCCCTGCGAGTATACAGTAATTGTCATCTTTGATTTAGCAAAGCCGGGATCACGGTATACACAGAAAAGAAGTCAGCAGCTTCAGCTGTCGAAAAATCAGACTGAATCAGTGTTTATAAAGATCACTTTTTTCAGATTCAAATATAAATGTTACATCTGTATCTTTCTATTCATTCATCTGCAGATCAAAAAGGATGAGCTTGATCTGCAAATTATGTCAGTTGAAGCAACCATCCAGACATTCTAGCGTTAGCAACCTGACAAGTTAAAAAAAAGTTTGTTTTTTTTTAATAAAATATTTCTGTTTAACCCCTATTAAACATTTGTTTACGCTGATCAGATCTAATTCCCTTTTCTACTTCTCCCCTCAACAGTTATTTTCCAACCGATTCTCTTTTTGTTTCTATTTTTTTTAACTATTAAATATTAAATTGTTTTGCGTTTCTTTTGTCTGTTAATATTTTCACACATTTAACATAAATTTAAAAACATTTACCATTAAAAAACAGCTCAGGTCACAGGGAGTGAACATATGTGAGAGGCAACGTGGCTGAAGGCTCAGCTTCCAAAGAAATCAGATTTTCAGGTTTATATTTTCAGGGCAATAAGGGGTAAGGAATAGAAAAGGTTTGCTAAAGGCATTTAAAAAGAAGAACTCCTGTGTGTGTTACACCGGGGTATTCCTCTAGGCAAAACAATATGTTTGCTACACAAAATACCAACACAGATAAAAGCATACACATGCATGATACTGCAAACAAAAACACTCACTTACCTAATTCTACAGAAAAACGACTTCACTTGGGTGTACTCATAAAGAGAAGCTGGAAAAACAAAAAATGTTGGCAATTTCAATATGTCTTCTTTAAAAAAAAAAAAAAAAAAAAAAACCCAAAAAACAACAAAGAATGGGAAAAAAAAAAGTTACCCACAATATGATATTTAATAAAAACTGGGGTCAGTTTTTTTCTTCCTTTCCTTAGCTCTGAGATCTACTTTAAATCAAGCATTTTATGCACAGGTACAAGATGTGGGCGCGCACCTACAGGATGCGGGCGCGCTCCTACAGGATGCGGGCGCGCTCCTACAGGATGCGGGGCGCGCACCTACAGGATGCGGGCGCGCACCTACAGGATGCGGGCGCGCACCTACAGGATGCGGGCGCGCACCTACAGGATGAGGGCGCGCACCTACAGGATGCGGGCGCGCACCTACAGGATGCGGGCGCGCACCTACAGGATGCGGGCGCGCACCTACAGGATGCGGGCGCGCACCTACAGGATGCGGGCGCGCACCTACAGGATGCGCGCGTGCTCCAACAGGATGTGCGCGCGCACCTACAAGGCTTTGAGAGGGGCTGGTTCACACCGCATGTGGTGGGACTGTGTTGGGTGGCTAGTTCCACCACATGGACAAGACAAAAATACCTACTCTCTTCGTGCATCCCCGTGGTGAAACACGAGTTTATTAAAATGCATAAAAGTGCATACTCACAAACCACAGGAGATTAAAACGGAGACAGAGTCAGTCGTGACAGTCCCAAGTGACAGGAGACTCTTGATGAGGTAGGATGACGCGTTTTGGGAGACGTAGAAGAAAGAAGCATGTCTCCCGAAACGCGTCAGCATACCTCATCAAGGATCTCCCATCACTTGGGACCATCACCACTGACTCTTTGTCTCTGAATCTCCTTTGGTTTGTGAGTATGCATTTTAATAAACTCGTGTTTCACCACGGTATTGCATGAAGAGAGTGCGCCCTGTTTTTGCTTTTCTTCATCAGTACCAAGGTTTCCCGATCTTCCAAGGGCTAAACCTCAGTGAAGGACAGTCACAGTACTCCTAGTCAGCATGAAGATTTGAGTGCTGGTTTTGTTTTTTTGGATAACTTAGTGGCCTTTACATTGCAGCTCTGAAACAAGATTGTGTTCCAGGGCAATGAGTGAGAGCAAAACAGTTATTGTCTATCACATTCTAGAACTATATAATAAATGTACCAGTATATATGTATATATCTGTTCTACTTAGGGACCACAGATAAAGTAAATCGGGCCTTGGACTATGTAAAGTTAAATCATTTCAATCTTTTTTTAAAATACAGTAGTCCAGCAACAAGTGGTCCAATATCTCCCAGTTCTAGAGGTCACAAGTCCATCTCTGGGGCCTTACCTGTCTCTGCTCCAACATTCCAAGGCAGAAGATGAGACTGGGTGGTGTGTTTGTAGAAGACGCTGACGTCCTGAGGAGCCAGGAGCTCCGCAAAGCGCGACGACGAGTCCAACAGCTTCTTCTTACAATTTAGGATGTAGGCAGCCTGTTCCGAGATGTACACCATCTTCCCAGAGGTCAGCGAGAACACAATTACAAATGTATCCTGGAAAGGATGATGAACAAGAACATGATGATGATATTTATTCTAGGTTTCCAACAAAAAAATCTCACATCAGCAAAAAAATGTGATCTCCCCACAGGGATGAAGGTATTTTGGTAATCAAAAGAGCATCCACATAGCTTGACCCCTTCTCCATTGAAGAGAAAAAAACTGGAGGTCAAAAGCATCACTTCCAGTCCGGACGCTTTTACCCCCCCTTCCAGTCCCGAACGCTTTTACCCCCCCTTCCAGTCCCGAACGCTTTTACCCCCCCTTCCAGTCCCGAACGCTTTTACCCCCCCTTCCAGTCCCGAACGCTTTTACCCCCCCTTCCAGTCCCGAACGCTTTTACCCCCCCCCTTCCAGTCCCGAACGCTTTTACCCCCCCTTCCAGTCCGGATACTTTTACCCCCTTCCAGTCCGGACACTTTCATAAAAATTCATATGGGTACAGTGTTGCATGACCGCACAATTGTCATTCAAAGTGTGATAGCGCTGAAAGCTGAAAATTGGCCTGGGCAGGAAGGGGGGGAAAGTGTCCGGACTGGAAGGGGGGGAAAGTGTCCGGACTGGAAGGGGGGGAAAGTGTCCGGACTGGAAGGGGGGGAAAGTGTCCGGACTGGAAGGGGGGGAAAGTGTCCGGACTGGAAGGGGGGGAAAGTGTCCGGACTGGAAGGGGGGGAAAGTGTCCGGACTGGAAGGGGGGGAAAGTGTCCGGACTGGAAGGGGGGGAAAGTGTCCGGACTGGAAGGGGGGGAAAGTGTCCGGACTGGAAGGGGGGGGGGGAAAGTGTCCGGACTGGAAGGGGGGGAAAGTGTCCGGACTGGAAGGGGGGGAAGGTGTCCGGACTGGAAGGGGGGGAAGGTGTCCGGACTGGAAGGGGGGGAAGGTGTCCGGACTGGAAGGGGGTGAAGGTGTCCGGACTGGAAGGGGGTGAAGGTGTCCGGACTGGAAGGGGGTGAAGGTGTCCGGACTGGAAGGGGGTGAAGGTGTCCGGACTGGAAGGGGGTGAAGGTGTCCGGACTGGAAGGGGGTGAAGGTGTCCGGACTGGAAAGGGGTGAAGGTGTCCGGACTGGAAGGGGGTGAAGGTGTCCGGACTGGAAGGGGGTGAAGGTGTCCGGACTGGAAGGGGGTGAAGGTGTCCGGACTGGAAGGGGGGGAAAGTGTCCGGACTGGAAGGGGGGGGAAAGTGTCCGGACTGGAGGGGGGTGAAAGTGTCCGGACTGGAAGGTGGTGAAAGTGTCCGGACTGGAAGGGGGGGAAAGTGTCCGGACTGGAAGGGGGGTGAAGGTGTCCGGACTGGAAGGGGGTGAAGGTGTCCGGACTGGAAGGTGGTGAAAGTGTCCGGACTGGAAGGGGGTGAAAGTGTCCGGACTGGAAGGGGGTGAAGGTGTCCGGACTGGAAGGGGGTGAAAGTGTCCGGACTGGAAGGGGGGGGGAAAGTGTCCGGACTGGAAGGGGGGTGAAGGTGTCCGGACTGGAAGGGGGTGAAGGTGTCCGGACTGGAAGGGGGTGAAGGTGTCCGGACTGGAAGGGGGTGAAGGTGTCCGGACTGGAAGGGGGTGAAGGTGTCCGGACTGGAAGGGGGTGAAGGTGTCCGGACTGGAAGGGGGTGAAGGTGTCCGGACTGGAAGGGGGTGAAGGTGTCCGGACTGGAAGGGGGTGAAGGTGTCCGGACTGGAAGGGGGTGAAGGTGTCCGGACTGGAAGGGGGTGAAGGTGTCCGGACTGGAAGGGGGTGAAGGTGTCCGGACTGGAAGGGGGTGAAGGTGTCCGGACTGGAATGGGGGTGAAGGTGTCCGGACTGGAAGGGGGTGAAGGTGTCCGGACTGGAAGGGGGGGAAAGTGTCCAGACTGGAAGTGGTTAATAAACTCGTGTTTCACCACAGTTGGGAACCAAAGTTGGGTTGTGGTCAGTTCTGGACTTCCGAGTTCCAGGAGACAGGCAAAGCAGATACTAAATAGGAATTTCACTTGGTAGAGAGAAATGGCAACTGCTAGCATCAACTGAGAAGCCTTTCTGTATCCGAGAGCTTCATGGCCAAAGATTTCTGGTTCTCCCAAACACAAAACTAGGGATGGGTTTGGTCTTTATAGGCAACAAAACGGTTTCCTTCCTTTTTGACTATGAGGTCCTCAGCATAAACCTCTATGACACGTACCGTGTTTTTTGGTGGATGCTCTGATGTCATCTTCCAAATCTTCAATTGTATGCACATTGGTATCCATACGCGACGTTCCGCTGTCAGTGAGGACCTGGAAAAAACGCGCTGTTCGCTGGAGAAGAAGACGACATTACATTATTGCCCCAAATTACATCACCGATCTTGTCTCCAAATACCACCTAAACAGTACTCTCCGCTCCTCGCAAGACCTCCTACTCTCTAGCTCCCTTGTCTCCTCCACCCATGCTCGTCTCCAGGACTTCTCCAGAGCTTCCCACATCCTCTGGAACTCTTTACCCCAATTTATCAGACGATCGCCTACTCTGCTCACTTTTAGGCGATCTCTGAAAACCAATCTCTTCAGGGAAGCCTACCCTGCCCTCGGCTAATAATGGAATCTTCTATTCCTCCTACCAGTCCATCCCCCGCAGTTACCTTTTGTACCACTAGCCCCTCCCTCCTAGATTGTAAGCTCCAAGGAGCCGGGCCCTCCTATCCCTCTTGTATTGAACTGCATTGTTGCTGTATTGTCTCCCGTTATATTGTAAAGCGCTGAGCAAACTGTTGGTGCCATAAATCCTGTATAATAATAATAATTATTGTAAACCATGTAAGTTCATCCATCAGGACCTGACCTCACAAAGGTTCCTTTTGTTGAACGAGCACAAATTCCCACAGCCCCCCTCCAAAATCTTCTGGAAATCTGTCCCTGAAGAGTGAAGAATGTTAGAGCTGCAAAGAGGAGGCCAGCTCCATATCAATGCACATGATTTTGTAATGGGATACCCTACAATCTCATATAGGTGATGGTCAGGTGTTGACAAACATTTGGGCAGCACAGTGGCTAAATAGTTAGCACTTCCGCCTGGCAGTACTCGGGCCGTTAGTTCAAATCCCAACCATGGCACCACCTGCCTGGAGTTTGCACGTTCTCCCTGTGCTTGCGTCAGTTTCCTCCCACACTCCAAAGACATGCTGATAGCTGAATTGGTTCCTGTCTAAATTGGCCCTAGTATGTGTATGTATGAATTTGAGTTAGGCACTTTAGATTGTACGCTCCTTGAGGGTTAGGGAGTGATGTGAATGTACAGTATATATGTAAAGCGCTGTGTAAATTGACGGTGCTATATAAGTACCTGAAATAATTTGGCCATATAGTTGCATAATTTGAGAATTGTCATCAAGGGGACCGACCATTCAGAACTCCTACTGAGACCTTTTCCAAAAGTAATGAAAAAAAAAAAGCTGACCTCTGCATAAAGGGAAGAAAGTCAACCAAGCCAATTCAGGATCCCTTCAGACATGCACCAATCTAGAAGCTAGGTAACATAATGTACAGTGAAGGAAATGCGTATTTGCTCCCCTGCTGATTTTGAATGTTCGCCCCTCACAAAGAAATGATCGGTCTAAAAATCGAATGTTCGGTGTATTGTAACACTGAGAGACAGAATACAACAACAAATTCAGCAGAAATGCGTCTAAGAAATGATGACTGATCTGCATGTTTATGAGGGAATTAAGGATTTGATCCCCTTCACAAAACATGACTTAGTACTTGGTGGCCAATCCCTTGTTGGCAATCACAGAGGTCAGACGTTTCCTGGAGTTGGCCCCCAGGTTTGCACACATCTCAGGAGGGATTTTGGCCCACTCCTCTTGGCAGATCTTCTCCAAGGCATTAAGGTTTGGTGGCTGACGTTTGGCAACTCGAACTTTCAGCTCCCTCCACAGATTTTCAATCGGATGAAGGTCTGGAGACTGGCTAGGCCACTCCAGGACCTTAATGTGCTTCTTCTTGAGCCGCTCCTTTGTTGCCTTGGCCGTGTGTTTTGGGTCATTGTCATGCTGGAACACCCATCCACGACCCATTTTCAATGCCCTGGCTGAGGGAAGAAGGTTCTCACCCAAGATTTGACGGTACATTGCCCCGTCCATCATCCCTTTGATTCGGTGCAGTTGTCCTGTCCCCTTAGCAGAAAAACACCCCAAAGCAGAATGTTTCCACCACCACGTTTCACAGTTGGGATGGTGTTCTTGGGGTCATAGGCAGCATTCCTCCTCCTCCAAACACGGCAAGTTGAGTTGATGCCAAAGAGCTGGATTTTGGTCTCATCTGACCACAACACTTTCAACCAGTCCTCCTCTACATCATTCAGATGTTCAGTGGCAGACTTCAGACGGGCTGGACATGTGCTTTCTTGAGAAGAGGGACCTTGCGGGCACTGCAGGATTTCAGTCCTTGTCGGCGTAGTGTGTTACCAATTGTTTTCTTGGTGACTGTGGTCCCAGCTGCCTGGAGATCATTGACAAGATCCTCACGTGTAGTTCTGGGATGATTCCTCGCTGTTCTCATGATCATTGACACTCCACGAGGCGAGATCTTGCATGGTGCACCAGACCTAGGGAGACTGACACTTGTTTTGTGTTTCTTCCATTTGCGAATGATTGCACCAACTGTTGTCACCTTCTCACCAAGCTGCTTGGCCATAGTTTGGTAGCCCAGTCCAGCCTTGTGTAGGTCTACAATCTTGTCCCTGACATCCTTGGACAGCTCTTTGGTCTTTGCCATGGTGGAGAGTTTGGAATCTGATGGTTTGATTGCTCCTGTGGACAGGTGTCTCTTATACAGGTAACAAAATGAGATTAGCAGCACTCCCTTCAAGAGACTGCTTCTAATCTCAGCTTGTTACCTGTATGAAAGACACCTGGTAGCCAGAAATCCTGCTGAATGATAGGGGATCAAATCCTTCTTTCCCTCATGAACATGCAGATCAGTCATCATTTGTTAGACGCATTTCTGCTGAATTTGTTGTTGCTATTCTGTCTCTCAGTGTTACAATACACCGAACATTCGATTTTTAGACCGATCATTTCTTTGTGAGGGGCGAACATTCAGCATCAGCTGGGGAGCAAATACGCATTTCCTTCACTGTGCTTGGCAAAAAAGGAGCTGGTGATGCTTTCTACTCCATCTCTCAGTTTTTAATTGTAAACACATGCTTATTGACACTTCACTGAAGCCATGTTATACACAAACACTAGTTTTAGGGTTCCTGGCCCAGATTCCACTAGTTAAGAGAAATAGAACACAAAGAATCCCTTATTCCCCAAAAATAAACACAAATAATCTTTTAGGACGGCGATCCTAGTTTGCTATTCTCACCTTGCACTTGCCGGACACATTTCAGGGCGTAGTTCAACGCATCCACCGTGCTGGGTTTGTTGCGGTTCATCTTTTCTGAAGGAAGGCGCCGTTTCATTTCCTGCACCATACTCATCAGCTCTTTGTGAGAGCGAGTCTTGTTCGTTTGTTCACTTTGGGGTGGAAAAAGAAACAAAAAAGTCAACAGTTTCATTTCTTGCTACACAGAAATTCACATTTCTTGGGCAGGTGGATTCTACACCCCAGAGGATCTCCACAGTCTCATTGGCTTGTAGTGTGATATAATGAGAATTGAAAATGAAGAGCCACACCACTGCTAAGAGCTCCAGATACAAATGTATTCCATGAAAAGTCTTTTAATGGAATAAAGTTGTATCTGGACCTCTTAGCAGTGGTGTGGCTCTTCAATTTTAATTCTTGTTACATGGAGGAGACAGGCCTCAGGCCTAGACACGACCAATGACCTGCAGCTTACACGAGATTCCCGTTCTTCGCTCCTAGCAGCCGAAGAGCGAAACAAAGTGTGTGCACCCTCCAAGTGCAAAGCACAGATGCTCTTTAAAGTGGAAAATTCGCCCAATTTTTTCCTTTTTTACATTGTAGAGGAAATGATTACCTGGGACCTTTACCTGTATCCCCAAAATCAGAATCTCAACTCCCCCCCAGTCCTACAATAACAGCCCAAGGTTTGCTGTGAGCCAAGTTTCCCAGGTCGCTTCTATGGAGCGCATTCACCATGCTCTTTAACCACTTCCAGTCCGGACACTTTCACCCCCCTTCCAGTCCGGACACTTTCACCCCCCTTCCAGTCCGGACACTTTCACCCCCCTTCCAGTCCGGACACTTTCACCCCCCTTCCAGTCCGGACACTTTCACCCCCCTTCCAGTCCGGACACTTTCACCCCCCTTCCAGTCCGGACACTTTCACCCCCCTTCCAGTCCGGACACTTTCACCCCCCTTCCAGTCCGGACACTTTCACCCCCTTCCTCTCCGGACACTTTCACCCCCTTCCTGTCCGGACACTTTCACCCCCTTCCTCTCCGGACACTTTCACCCCCTTCCTGTCCGGACACTTTCACCCCCTTCCTGTCCGGACACTTTCACCCCTTTCCTCTCCGGACACTTTCACCCCCCTTCCTGTCCGGACACTTTCACCCCCTTCCTGTCCGGACACTTTCACCCCTTTCCTCTCCGGACACTTTCACCCCCCTTCCAGTCCGGACACTTTCACCCCCCTTCCTGTCCAGGCCAATTTTCAGCTTTCAGCACTATCACACTTTGAATGACAATTGCGCGGTCATGCAACACTGTACCCATATGAATTTTTTAGCATTTTTGAGACAGATAAAGCTTTATTTTGGTGTTATTTATTCACCACTGGGATTTTTATTTTTTTTGCTATATAAATGAAATAGTCCAAAAATTTTGAAAAAAAAGTGTTTTTCTTATAAAATTTTGCAAATAATATTTCATCATAAATCTTGACCAAAATTTATTCCGTTATCTTTTTAGTAAAAGAAAAAATAACCCAAATTAGTTTATAACCAAAAATTATAATTTTTAAACATTTTTTTTTACATATTTAATTTTTTTTTTTACATACTGTCACCCTAGCAGTACATTGTCACCATGGTGACACTGTACTACTTGTGGGGGGTGATGAAGATTTTTTTTTTTTCTTTTACACCGATTGCTTTTACACCCATAAAGGTTGTAAAAGCAATCATTTCTCCTTCTCTCTGGCTGCATTGTTGCAGCCATTGAGAACTACTGTGTGAGCTGTGATTGGTCACAGCTTGTCACAAGGTACAAGGCTGTTGTGAATAGCCCTGTACCATGTGACCTCTGTGATCATTCACAGATTTCACACGTAGTAAGCAATGATGTCAGAAGTGACATCTTGCTTACTACTCTGCATGTGATTACTGATTGGCCAATCAGTGATCACATGATCGGGACCTCAAAGAGGTGTGTCCAGACACGGCGGGCACCAGATCGCGGTGCTGCGTGCTCCCAGGGAGCGCGCACAAGCAGGGGGCGGGGGGGCCGTTTATAAAACGGCCAACCGACCCTACACTGCCACCGTCCGGCCGTTTATATACAACTGCTGGACAGGAGGTGGTTAAGAGGACAATGACACCAGCATGTCATTTGCTCTCTGGTTAATGTGGAAAGCATGCTCTAGATCACTGGTTCTCAACCTTCCTAATGCCGTGACCCTTTAATACAGTTCCTCATGTTGTGGTGACCCCCAACCATAAAATTATTTACCCAGTAATTAAAATTCATGAAGTGTCGTTTTACCTCCAATACTGCTGCTTTCAACACAGCAGCTGCTTTCTACACAGTAGCTGGTCTTTACCCATCGGAAATATGTGTTTTCTGAAGGTCTTAGGTGACCCCTGTGAAAGGGTCGTTTGACCCCGAAAGGGGTCGCGACCCACAGGTTGGGAACCACTGCTCTAGATAATCCATTCTCCACCAGGATCTGTTGAACCCTAGGGTTCCTCCAGAGCTTGCTAGGGGTTCCCTGATCTGCACCTGGTTGACTTCCTATCTGGTGGTGCCTCCATGGTTCTGGGTGGCTCAGCAGCAAACTTGTCTAAGGGTGACATTCTGACCACTGCTGCAAGGGCCATCTTCACACTGGCCCCGATAAATTCATTTTGTCCACCAGCTGACACTGTGCCCAAAAACAGATACCATTTACGTGGCCATAGCAGATCAAAAATATAAAATTTCTTTCAACTAAAATGCACCAATGAAAGCATTACCTGTTATTGCTGCTGCCGATGGACTTGCTGGGCCTCCGGAAAGTACAGTTTGATCTCCTGGGTTCTTTGCCGTGGGAATCGGTTCCACTAGACTCATGGCCATGACCGCTGAAGTCATTGCCATTTGAGCCGTTGGAGTGCATCTCCATGTCATCATGGTGCTCAGAGTTGTGTTCCTCGGGCGTTTCACAGTTAAATGTCTTTTCCAGAGGGGTTTCCTCCTCCGTCCTTGCCGCTGCTGACCAGTCCTCACTGTTTTGGATCAAGCCTTCCTCCTGTGGCTTTGCACTCATGATAGCGGTGACGAGTTACAAGCTTAACATGGCCTCTAATACTGTGCGGGGAATGGGGGGGGCAAGATGGTCGTGTTGGTGGGATGATCCTGAAGGCGGTTCACCTTAGTACAGGAGCTTCTGGTTGTTCACAGATCCCAGATGGTGAAGAACGATTCCAAAGAGAACTCAACGTTTGTGGCATTTGTGCGCACCAGCGGCACACTAACGCAAATGTTCACAGAACAGCTGCTTACTACCTATAAAGGAGAAAAAAAACAAAAACAGCCGATAATGTATAAAATTTCATATATAATAAATGATACTTCCTGCCATAAATGTTACATATTAGGATTTAAAAGGAAGTAGAGGGGCCAAAATGTGTACAACACAACACCCAGAGACAATGACTTGGCCCCATTTACAGAGGCCACAGCAGTTCCATTATCTGTTGGTATTCTTCAGTAGCCATTAGAAAGGAACCTCAAATAGAGAACAATCAGCGCAAAAAGCTGCCACCGTGCTATTAGAAATAATGAAAAAGTGTCCATGAAGTCCATTGCAGGACCACAAAAAGTCCATATAGCACATGGGCAAGCCTCCTATAATGGTATTAGCAGAACTGTAAATTAGAGAAGAGAAGAAGCGCCTCTAAGTGCAGTATAGGGAACCTTAATGGGTAACAAATGTACAACAACTCACATATAGCATGAATAAAGAAGGCTCCCGAAGATGGGAGAACGGCTGCGTCCGTGCTTTGACAGCCGCATCTGCGCTCAGAAGATCGTGGATGTAGGAGAGAAGCCGGCCGGCGTGTGAAGTCTCCTAAAGATGGCGTCTGGAACGTACGTTGTGGCGCGACTTCGGCATCAACGTGATGACGTACATAGACCAGCATGCATAGCGACACATTTCGGAGCCTGCGCTAGACCTCTAAGGGTGGAAGCGTGCTCCCTTATCTTGAACAGCTTGATAAGGAGATGGATGTAGGAGAGAAGCCGGCCGGCGTGTGAAGTCTCCTAAAGATGGCGTCTGGAATGCACGTTGTGGCGCGACTTCGGCATCAACGTGATGACGTACATAGACCAGCATGCATAGCGACACATTTCGGAGCCTGCGCTAGACCTCTAAGGGTGGAAGCGTGCTCCCTTATCTTGAACAGCTTGATAAGGAGATGGATGTAGGAGAGAAGCCGGCCAGCGTGTGAAGTCTCCTAAAGATGGCGCACTCCCTTATCAAGCTCTTCAGCCCTTAGAGGTCTAGCGCAGGCTCCGAAATGTGTCGCTATGCATGCTGGTCCATGTACGTCATCACGTTGATGCCGAAATCGTGCCACAACGTGCATCCCAGATGCCATCTTTAGGAATTTCACACGCAGGCCGGCTTCTCTCCTACATCCATCTCCTTATCAAGCTCTTCAAGATAAGGGAGCACGCTTCCGCCCTTAGAGGTCTAGCGCATGCTCCGAAACGAGCAGTTATGCATGCTGGTCTATGTACGTCATCACGTTGATGCCGAAGTCTTGCCACAACGTGCGTTCCAGACGCCATCTTTAGGAGATTTCACATGCCGGCTGGCTTCTCTCCTACATCTCCTTATCAAGCTCTTCAAGATAAGGGAGCGCGCTTCCGCCCTTAGAGGTCTAGCGCATGCTCCGAAACGCGTCGCTATGCATGCTGGTCCATGTACGACATCACGTTGATGACGAAGTTGCGCCACAACGTGCATTCCAGATGCCATCTTTAGGAGACTTCACACGCCGGCCGGCTTCTCTCCTACATCCACGATTTTCTGAGCGCAGATGCGGCTGTCAAAACACGGACACAGCCGTTCTCCCATCTTCGGGAGCCTTCTTTATTCATGCTATATGTGAGTTGTTGTACATTTGTTACCCATTAAAGTTCCCTATACTGCACTTAGAGGCGCTTCTCCTCTTCTCTAATTAGGAAGGAACCTCATTGGTTAGTGGGACAGGAGGCAGCATGCATAGGTTTGCATAGGATTAGCTACAATGTACACCAGGGTATTGGTTCCTCTTACACTGCAAGGAGATTTAGTTACAGCCACAAGACAAAGGAAGTCCTTGATATTTCCTCTCTATCTGGGTAGACTTCAGCTTTAAAGAAAGATCTCCTGAAGTTGTTACCCGCCGCCGAATAGAAGATATACTGCTACAGGGCAGCATGGGTGCGCAAAATCATGTATATATACGTGATTTCGCATTTCCAAGTAGGAGGCGCTCGTGAGCCGTGCACGTATCCTACCTGTGCCACCATTCGCGGCTGCGGATGTCACTCACTGGGTCCTGGCCGGTGATTACCCGCTGGCACCCGGTGATTAACGACAATCACAGACGGGGAGGAAGACTGTTTAGTTTGCCAACAGTCTTCCTCCCTGTTAGCTTGGGCACACTAGACAGCACAGCCATCCTGATCAGTGTGCTTACAGTGAAGCACACAAAACCCCCCACTAAGAAAACACTCCCAGCACACAGTTAACCCTTTGATCACCCCTCACATTTTGATGGCCCTTCCTCCCCAGTGCCATTAGTACAGTGCCTGTGCTGTTTTTCAGCACTGATTACTGTATTGGTGTCACTGACACAAAGATAGTCCCCCCCCCCCCCCAATGTCATAATGCCGGCCGCAGTCCCGCTAAAAGTCGCTAATCGCCGATCATTACTAGTAGAAAAAAAGAAATCCCAGTATATATACCGCCATTTGTAAACGCTACAACTTTCATGTAAACGAATTAATTTACACGTATTGGGATTTATTTTTTTTAGCAAAGACACGGAACAGAATACATTTTGGCCTAAATATATGACAAAAAATTCGTTTTTTGTATTTTTTTTTTACAAAAAAAAAAGTCCAAAATCTTGTTTTTTTCCCTCAAAATAGTCGGTCTTTTTTTGCTTATAGCACAAAAAAATAAAAACCGCAGAGGCGATCAAATACCACCGAAAGAAATCTCAATTCGTGGGAAAAAAAAATGTAAAAATATAAAAACTGTAGCTGCTGACTTTTAAAAAACAGCCACTTACCTGGCCCGTTTCACCGGCCGTCCTGGATTCCAGGAGGCCGGCATCTTCAGTGTGGGCACCCGGCTGTGATAGCTTGAGGCTTCACAGCCGGGTACCCACTGAGCATGTGCGAGAAGCGCTGCGCTTCCTGAATGGTCCTGTAGTCTTCTGGGACTTGTCACGTGTCCCAAAAGACTACAGGGAGGGAGGACACTTTCCTCTTCTGATCGCCTAGGCCAGGGGTGGGCAAACTGCGGCTCTCTAGCTGTTGTGGAACTACATTTCCCATGAGGCATTGCAAAGATTACAAAACTGACAGTTACAGCTATGACTTGCAGAGGCATGATGGAACTTGTAGTCCTGCAACAGCTGGAGAGCTGCAGTTTGCCCACCCCTGGCCTAGGCGATCGGACTGGAAGTGGGAGGCGGGTACCTGTCAAATTCGAATGGCCGTGCGGGCCGCGTTTTGCGCGAGCACATTCATTTGAATGGCCGTGCGGGCTGTGTTTTGCGCGGGCACGAGGTCCCATTCATTTGAATGGACTCCTGTGCTCCGCGACACGCAGGGAAGTCCCTGCACTTCTTCTGAAAACGCAGCCGAGATTCACAGTACGGTTGCGTTTTTCCAGTGCGGGCGGCGTGCCATTACAACTAATGGCGCCCGCCCGCGGGTCCCGCATTCCTGTGTGCGGGGATTTTCGTGCGGATCCGCAGCGGCACCACCCGCACAGATGTGAACCTAGCCTGAATGTGAATGGGCGTGGTTTCCTAATTATCAATCAGCACCTGCAGGGTTCTACTGAGGAAAGCGGCAGGGTCTGCACCCCTTCAGACATGATTTCCCTTTGGGAATATCGCGCCAAAAAGGATATTTTTTGCGGCAAAATTTCTGGGAATGTCAGCGAGCGTTTTGTATATCATCTGTGAACTCCTCCAGGCGGCCATATTGCATTTTACAGAAAATAACAGCAGCTGCAGATTGATAAGGAAAAGGTCATATTTTTTTTTTTTTATTTGCTATTTTTCTTTCCCACGAAAGTGGAGTTATCCTTTAAGGAATATCTTAAACTGATAATGGTTGTGTCGGTGTTTCCTGTACCCCCCCCCCCCCCCCCCCCCCCCACGTTTCCCATTCATGCCAAGTTTAGGAAAGTTTTCTCCGGTGGCCGGCAGGTTGCTCTCGTCAGCAGCTCCGTGGAGTTCTCTGTCCATTCACATCTCCATCTCGGAGTGAACCGAGTGACCTGCCTGTACAGGAGACATCTGCGGCAGCTTAGAGTCATTCATAGAGGAGGTCCTGGCTCCCCCCCCCCCCTCCCTTCTATTATGTAAGAATATTCCCCGCATCCAACCTGCGCAGGAAACGATTACTGACACTGAGCTCCAGAGGATCACGATTAGCAGACGCAGATGTGGCTTTACTCTGCCCCGAGCTTTGCTGCTCATAATAAACTGCTTACATGGCATTACCACCCTTCTGATGTACAATGAAAAGGAGATGATGAATGAGGCGTATCCGGCAACTGTACGCCCGCGTGCGGGGATGGCGCCGGGGTATCCCATGACAGTCGTTCAACTACGCCATCTAGGCGACCTGCTGCGGAATGGACAGCACACGGCTAATACAGGGCAGTGGTAGAAGGAGCGCAATGTTAGAAGAAAAAAAAAAAAAACAAAAAATAAAAAAAATCACAAGACAAAGACCACAAAACAAAAAACCCACAAAACAAAAATCACAAAACAAAAAAAAAACCCAAAACAAAACAAAAACCAAAACAAAAAAATAAAAAAAAATCACAAGACAAAGACCACAAAACAAAAAACCCACAAAACAAAAAAAACAAAAACAAAACAAAAATCACAAAACAAAAAAAAAAACCCAAAACAAAACAAAAACCAAAACAAAAAAATAAAAATAAAAAAAATCACAAGACAAAGACCACAAAACAAAAAACCCACAAAAAAAAAAAAAAAAACAAAACCAAAACAAAAATCACAA